ATAGCTCCATTTATGATTATAATCACCCTTTTTACATCCTCGCGGTAAATACAGCATCGCACTTAGTCGAGGGGAGAGGGGAGGAGGAGCAGATTTAGGAGAAGGGTGAGGCCTCGCCAACAAGATATGGCATGTTTGATAGGGAGAACAGACCGTGAGCTAGCGGAACGAGCAGGTATGTAGAAGGATGTGCTGCGAGGATCAACAACCGAGGCGAGCATTTCTAAAACTTTCTAGCTATCTAGAACATGAGGGTTTACTTTGGTCAAATGATTGATGGGGTGCGATTTCCATGGTAGATATTCATTAACTATGCAGTTCTTCACGAAAGGAGGCGAGAAAAGTACTTCCATGGTATCGCTCTATTGTTCGCCTCTTCCTCACTTCGCCTGTCCGTTAATGGTCTTAGTGCGTCGGTGAAGTCATTAGCTCGTAACAAGTAGGGGTATTCCCTGATACCTGTCTGTGGGCGTCCGTCATCTGGATATTACCTGGAGTATTGTCAGAGATTAGAAAGACATCTTTAGATAAATAAGACTTTAGAACAAACTGACTTTTTGTTAAAGATGATGGCAATGCCATAACCTTTTAAGACCTATCATACATTTCCCAAGTCTGAAAAAAAACTGTTCAGTTCATATACATATACTTTAATCACCCTTGTATTTGAAAATAAAGGGCATTTTGCTTTCTCTAAGTTATGAAAAAGAGGCTTTTCCCTCCCTTATTATGAAGTAATGCGAATATTTTTTTCTCCTAAACGAATGCTTTTTACTTGTCATTTAGAAAATATTGTTTCGGATACGGCTTTTTCCCCTTTAGGAGTGTGATTTTCAACCCTTTCTCTATAACTTACCTCCTCGATTGTATGTTGCTCGTCATATACCCCTTTACTACCATGTAAAACAAGAATATCTAATGTAGACACATAACAAGAAAGCACCTTTATTTCTTATATTTTGCAAAGAATGTTCTGATTAAGAAATATAATATATAGTTGTTGATAACTCGGTTTAAGAAAAGATTTTTAAAAATCGCATCAAACATTATCAGTTGGAAAAATCGCATGCTGTCTGCTAAGATCCATCACATCGAGGGTGTCACGTATATTCTTTTTTACTCACATGGGTAAACATACCCTTGGTCAAAAAATCCCAGCTTTAGGCGAATTTGACTTAGTCATTGTCCAATACATGTACAATTATAAAAGCTTTATAATATGGTAAGTTATATTATTTTACCTCTTTTTTCATGTCTTATAAAAGTTCTTGTTTTTGATAAAGACATAGATGCTAAAAGGGAAAAATAATCAAGTGAAAGCCTTCTTGTTATACAGGTGTTTTGATTTTTCAAGATAAAAATAGTTTATAGGGGTCTTAAATGTTTTTGCTACTATAACAACTAGGGAACATAGTGAAAAATCATAGGCAAAGGATGTTAAGATATATATATATATATTTTTTTTTTTATTTGGTAGGACTTTGTGTTAAGATATTCAGAAAATATTAAAGAGATCGAGTATCAAGTTTTATTCAGTGCCGACGTAAAAAATATTTCTCTCTTTGAATAGGGAGATTTGAGAAAATGTATGCATGTGTTACTTAAAAAGCTGTGTCTGAATGTAAATCACTATAGTCCGACGGTTGGGGTGATCATCTTTTAAAGATAACAACTTATCTAGTTCCATCTCTTGCTGCATATTTGTAGAAAGGCAATGACGGGGAAATCGAGAAGTAAAGTTTGGTTGAATTATACACGTTGGCAAAGTTATTTGTGTCCTTTTATGATATTTTTCCCGTTCTTGTGGGAGGCAAAAAAACATATTTGCTAGATAAATGAAACTACAATAACCAAAAATTGCCGTAGTCCGACTTAAAGATAGCAACTTATCTATCCCCGTCTCTTATAGCATGTTTGTACTGGTGAGAAAGATCATGACGGGGAAATCGAGAAGTAAAGTTTGGTTGGATTATTTCCCATCGGCTAGGCTAATTGTGTCTTTTTTACAATATTTTTCTCGTTCTCGTTGAAGACAAAACAGCATATTTGTTAGGTAAATGAAACTACAGTAACCAACATTAGTGGTTACCGTTGCATAGTTCCTTTTCTTTGTATATACTTGCAGGGAGGTACTATAGACAATTTTGTGGAGGAGGAGTAAATTACTGAAAAGCTAGTCCACCTTCTGTTCTGATTCATCTTTTTCTTATGTCATCATAAAACGGAGGATCTCTAATCGATGTTTACCCTGGTCTTTTTATATCAGAAGAGAATGCACTGTATTGACGTGCAAAGATACGGCTGTCTGCATAGAGTTATACATATGGGAAAGCTGAACATATTTCCTAGTTTGCAGATTGTACAAAAATTGAGAGCTGAGGCGGGAACACTTTTTGGGAAAAAACATTGCCTCTTGAGGTTAATTAGCAAATCATAGCTGGGTCGGCACATGGGGACAGGTGGTAGATAATTAGTTGTTCAGACGGAAATAGGAGGGGGAACCCCGTTTTTGGTCTCGTGCAGATGCGTTGAAAACCCTATTAATGCTCTCTAAATAGAATAAAACCTGTCGGCTTTTCAACCTGTTAGGTAATTAACCTGTTGTATAAGCCTGAAATTTTCAAACGTATGAGATAGTGGGTATCGCATTTACATTTATACAGAAAATTTAAACCTGTTATTTTTATTTTATTTGTATTATCACCTGTTAGGTGCGTTTTTGTGAAGGTCATAATAAAGGCATATTGAGTACAACAAGAGTTTCATGATCCTTTTGACTGAATTGTATTTTTATTAGAAAGATGCCTTTGGGATGTAAGATAGCTTATCAATCGTCTTGCGAAGTTAAGAAATTTCTGTTGTGTTATTCTTATTAGAGTTGCATCTTTGTTATATTATGCATTTGTAAACATTTGTAAAGATATTGATTATAGTCTTTGAAATGATTTTTTCATATATGCATATGGAGTGAGAAATGGATATTGTCATATACATATATATTTTGTCTTATATTTACATAATGAGAACATTGATAATCTTAGTAAGGATTAAGATGGGTTTCCTATTTTGATTGGTTACACCTCAAGACGGGACTGCACCACCGCTGTCGTTACCTCTGAGCAAGAAGAGATGGTCATATTATCACCCTCGTTATATGGAACTCGGGTGATATGATTTGTATTTGTGTCTGTTTGTTTGTACTAAAGGCATATTTGAAGACCTTAATAAAGACATTGAGTACAGCAACGAATTTTATAATCCTTTTGACTGCAATGAATTCTTAATATTGAGGTGTTTTGGCGATTTAATGTAGACAACGTGTCAAGACATTTATGGATTATGATGAATTAGGGAGGGGTGATCACTCGTCTGTAGCAGGATTAATTATCGGTTCAGTTACATGTTTAAACATGGTGAATATTGCCAAAGTGTTTATACAATTGAAAATGAAGGTATGTATTGTATGACGAATTTTTATAATCTATTACAGTTAATTGTATTCTTATCCCTGATATGGCGAGGGAGGAACAGTAATTATCTGTCATTAGCAGACCTGTGTGACCTATTTAATATTGATTTTGCCAGTTAAGTGTGTGTGAGCACCTTGTATAGTGTTTATACAATCGAAAATAAAAGCATATATTGTATAACGAGTTTTATAATCCTTTACACTTAATTGTATTCTTATCTCTGTCATAGTGAGGGAGGAGCAGTAATTATTGGTTGTTGGCAGGCCTGTGTAACCTAGTTATTATTGATTTTCAGTCATTAGGAGAGGTGGTTCCCTCGTCTGTAACAGAATCAATTACCGATCTCGGTACAAGTTCAAACATGGTGAATATTGTGGTATGAGTGGGAGGGGATAATGGGTGAGTCATCTATAGCATCTGCCTGTGTGTGAGACATCACTGACTATGGGTAATGATTTCGGTTGCGGTTATTGATTAGTTAATTGTTTTCAGTGGTTATCTTTCTGTTATGATGTGCTATTTTGAACTGTAAGGTGTGCGTGCTAGCCATCATTAGCTATGGTCTAGTGGTTACCTCATGATCATTAACCTGCTTGTGACGCCTCGTCTGTAACAGAATCAATTATCGATCTCGGTACAAGTTTAAACATGGTGAATATTGTGGTGTGGGTGGGAGGAGCAACGTGTGAGTCATCTATAGCATCTACCTGTGTGCTAGACACTGCTGGCTACGGGTAATGATTTCGGTTATGGTTATTGATTTGTTAATTGTTTTCAGTGGTTATGGTGTACTATTTTGGGATGCAGTGTGCGTGCTAACCATCATTAGCTGCGGTCTAGTGGTTTGATCATTAACCTGTGTCACCTGTCACATGCATTGGAGGGTTCCTTGTCTGTAACACGTCATTAGTTCCAGTTTCCTTTCACTATTTCTCTTAATGATGTATCATGTACGAACATAATACACACAAGTGAAAGTAGGTTAATGATTTCCGGGTCTTAATTATGTTGTTATGGACATGTTGTGGTTTGCGGTTTGCGGTTTCGTCAAGGTCATTGGTTACGTCATTACATCATTACATCATTAGTTCCAGTTTCCTTTCACTATTTCTCTTAATGATGTATCATGTACGAACATAATACACACAAGTGAAAGTAGGTTATTGATTTCCGGGTCTTAATTATGTTGTTATGGACATGTTGTGGTTTGCGGTTTGCGGTTTCGTCAAGGTCATTGGTTACGTCACGCCCACTGGTAGGGGGAGGGGAGGGAATGGGGGTGAGTCGTTCTGTCCATATATACACTACTGTGCTCCAAGAGCGTAATATGCCTTGCAACAAAAATCCTTCATTTAATATCAACAAAGTACTAAAAAGAAATAAAAAAACTGTGACTTACAAAGTGAATCTTTATGAACCAAGATTACAACTAAAAGCAAACCTAGTTTTAAATCAACTCTTAGTACAAAAAAAAAAAAAAATTAATAAAAAAAAATATATATGTATATATATATATAAAGAATGTCCTACACAAGCTGTTTTAAAGTAAACTTCCTCGATGTGGTTTGTTCTAAGGGAGTTCTCTAGATCCGTTAAAACTTGTGTAGATGTAGACTCACCGACCATTTTGCGTTTCTGTATAAAGGGCAGTACATTAACATTGTATAACACTTACACTGCACATTCTTTTCATATCAAATGCTATTGTTTATAATACCATACAAATTCCATGAAGAAATTAACATTTAGCAAAGCATAAGGAGTCAACACAGTATATCAATTCAAATGAAAATGTATAGATTTTGTGACAATAAACCTTCATATACAAAAAATTGATTGATTGATTGATTGATAACGTTTATTTAGCCAATATACATAAAAACAGTTTGATATACACAAAATAACAATTGAATGGCTGAGCCTCCTGAGAACACAAGTTCTCTTAAGGAGGCACCTTATTATAAGGGAATTGATGTGTATTAAATTCTTAGATTCTGTCAATCCACTCGCAGGTGGATTGAAGAGGATAACAGTAAAAGGTGAAAATATACAATATGCTATATATAACAAAAGACAGACTAGTAGATCGGACTAAGTTGTAACAAAAGAATAATTCTATTCATAAAAAAACTAAATACTAAAATAATATATTGCACAAGATTATATCTAAATACACATATACACATAACACAGGACAGACTAGTAGACTAGTAGATCGGACTAAGTTGTAATAAAAAATATATTTAATTCATAAAAAAACACTAAAATAATATATTGCACAAGATTATATCTATATATACACACATACACACCTATATACATACCTACATACATAAACATACATACATATACAGTTTATATATACACACACACACACACATAAACATATATACCTATACACAAACATATGTATATACACATACATATACATAAATACATACATCCATATACATATGAATATACTCATACACATATACATATATATACATGTACATACATACACACACACTCACACACACATATATATATACACACACAAATATGCTTATATTAACCTTACATGCATTTGCATGTATTACATAGATACATTGTACACTTATGTAAACATTCGTACAGATGCATGAATACCCGCTGTTATGTACCTGTATATATACTTATTCCTAAACATTAGCATTCACTCTGACATATGTAATAGGTGGGTCTTCAACGATTTTTTGAGTGACAACAGTGACGGAGCATTGTGGAGATGTGAGGGCAGATCATTCCATACACTTACCCCATGATATAAAATACATGTTTTGGATTGGTTTGAGCCTATAGTTGGGTGTTTTAATAGTGAGTTTGATCGGAGAGGATATCTTAAATCATTTCTGAACCGAAATAAGTTATTTTCGTATATATTGATACATTTAAAAATGAAGAGAGCACAGAAGTAGGTATTTATATCTCTCAGCTTCAATAGTTTCAGTGTAGAAAATGCCTCATTGGTATGGTCATATTTGCCTAATCCAGCAATGGTTCGGATTACTCGTTTTTGGGCAGTTATAACGGGTTTTAGCGTTGTATCATTGACAGCTCCCCAGACAGTATTGCAGTATGTTAGATGTGGATAGATTAACGAAAAATATATGCATTTACGGGCATTCATTGTGAGAAAATCACGAGTATGGTACAAGATACCACACTGTTTATTAATTTTTTGACGAATATTGTTCGTATGACTTTTCCACGATAATTTATCATCAATGATTACTCCGAGAAATTTAGTTTCGGTTTTCCTTGACAAGGGTTTATGTTCTAATATTAACGGCAGAAGTGTAGGGGGAAGTTTCTTATTGCGATTAAATATGACATAATGGGATTTAACAATGTTTAGCGTTAGTTTGTTTGAAGAAATCCAGTTACTGATAGTGCTGAGTTCTCTATTGATGTTACTAATGAGTTGATTAATATCTTTACCTGAAACATAGAGGTTACTATCATCAGCATATAAGATGAATTCCAGATACGAGGATGTTTTCACCAAATCATTGATGTAGATCAGGAAAAGAAGAGGCCCTAACAGTGACCCTTGTGGTACACCATGAGATAATGGAAGGCAATCTGAATCGGATCCATTATATGAAACAAATTGATTTCTGTTAGACAGATATGAACGAAACAAGCGGTTTGCAGAGCCCCTGATACCATAATGAGATAGTTTTGAGAGCAGAATTGGGTGGTTAACCGTATCAAAAGCCTTAGATAAATCTAGGCATACAGCAACAGTGAATTCATTATTATCAAAGGCCTTGTATATATGGTTTGTAAATGACATAACAGCCATTTCTGTTGATTTATTCCTCGTAAATCCAAATTGGCAATCTGACAGAATACTGTTGCGTATGAGATAATTTTCCAATCTGATATAGATTATTTTTTCCAGAATTTTACTTATTACGGGCAGAACTGATACTGGTCTGTAGTTATAAACATTGGTTTTGCAACCTGATTTGTGAACAGGAGTAACCTTTGCTGTCTTGAGTTTGTC